GTTTTTTTTGGAAGTTTGACATTAAGGTTTGGATAACATAAATGTCACATTTAGTTCAGGCTTGGGCGTGTGATTATGTAAGTGATGGTGGAGTCGTGTATACAATTGTCACATTGATTCGGGTTCGTTTCGATCTGTTTGAAACAGGATTTGGAAGGAATACCCTTCTTGGGTTGATCCATTTATAAAATTTGAGAAAATGATATCCTTCTTGGATTGATGCAAGGACCTTGGGCCCTCCTTTTCAGATCTTTTCATTACAAGTTTTGAGGGTTGATTCACCCTTCGTCTTTTCGATCTTTTAGGTGGATCAGTTCCTCCTCTCTCTCATCCCCATTTTTATTCTTTTTTTCCTTACTTCTTGGTTCGGTTTTTTGTGCTAATGTCTGACACATACGTGCTCATATATAGTCTTTTGCTATATATGAAACCATCGAGCAAGTTCGCAAGTAGGTCAGTTTTGTTTTGAAGCTTAAGGCGATAATGACAAAGGCACGCCGGTGATAGAGTAGAATGATATTTCATCCTACGACATCAGGACCCAATCCTGAGACCTGATAAACTGTAGGATGATAGTATCATTCACTGACACAAGACTAGCGGGGAACCCGTACCTTAGGTTGTTGGCGGTCGTACGCCCGACGGCGCGATCAACTCGTGGACAATCATAATTTTTTAAAACTGATAAGAACAAAACATGATAGAACAAATACAATATTTATAAAAAATATTTTTACTACAAAATTGATACAACTTCTTTTTGTATGCTTGAAATTCATGTGCATGCTAAAATATAATTTTTAAATATATTATAACTTGATTGTCCACTTGTTGATTACCAATACCGGGCTAAAGAGTATCCTCCTAAGTTAGGTTTGACGCCCCCCTTCTAGTTGAGTGGCTAGCTCTATACATCTGGGTGATCGATAGTAGCCTTCGACGTCCCTCGAGTATAAATATATAGTATCTAAGCCTAGCCTCGACTCGAGTGCTGGCAGTTTTCTTTCTTCGGATTTTTCGTGCGATTTTATTGGAATTTTTGGTAAAACACTCGCGGTCTTTTTCCAGGATCTTCCCGTGTTTTCGATGACTTTCTTTGAATTGTCATTTATTGTTTTTTGCTTCGAGATTTCCGTCGTGAGTCATTTGCCGATTTTCTCGAGTTTTCTTTCTTCGTGGGTCATTTGTCGCTCTTTCTTGAGTTTTTCAAGTGGTATTTCTTTTGTTGATACAATGCATGCTAGCTCATTTCTTAAAATCTGTTACTATACTTACACCTGCTACTGTTTCTTTTACACACTATACCTTAGAATAGAAGGCCAGTAATTGGTTTCATAGGAGGTACCCGGCAGCAGATCGTTGACTAAACAATTGTATGTACACTTAAAATTAACATCGAATCCAAAGGTGCTACGACGGAGAGCTTGGAGCGAACACCATGGACAGCATGACGAGGACACACAGAGTAGGAACTTCGAGATGAATTTGCAACATCAAAACAAGTTTATGTCAACTAAACATTTTCCTTAGTTAAAATAACAAGTTATAGGACTTCGAGGTGGTTTGCTTAGCGCAATGTAAATCCTCACCATATCTTTAAGTTTTTGCACAACTTTGTTGTGCAATTATAAGTCCTAACACTTTTAGGATTATGAGGTTACTGTCTGGTACAATGTAAATCCTCCTATCTTTCTAGGCTATTTGAACGATCAGATATCGTGCGAATGTAAGTCCTAAATTTTAAAAAGAAATTGCAGGATTAAATATTGAATAACATTATTTCAAAGACATAAAGTCAAACAATAGAATAGTTGAGAAATCACCAAGGTTCCCCCTAAATCTCAAACTTTGAAATTTTGAAGGTAGAACCACTGATCTTAATAGAGAGTTTTCTTAAGTGACTCTGGTCATTTAAGATGTAATTTACTATAAGAGTTTGTTTCTATAGGGAACTAACAAGCCAAGATAAAATAAACCTTATTTAATCCTTATATTAAGTAAGGGAACCTGTCGACCATACATAAAAAGTTTCGCAGGTCAAACAGATGTCACCAAACTCTTTGGTTTTGATGGTTGAGCTTACTACAAATGATATGTTTATCTTCGTGATAATATATTAATTGTGGTATCGCGCTCAGCCGTCCAAACTATTCAATTTGTGAAACTCGTTTGGTCTCATTTATTTTTAAATTAAAGTATTACTTTTAAAAATCATATTTACATTAAAACTATTTTCATATTTTATAAAAATCATCATTCCTTTCTTTTCAAAATAACGGCCGACAGACAAAACTATAGAATAGGAGGCCAGTAATTGGTTTCATAGGAGGTACCCGGCAGCAGATCGTTGACTAAACAATTGTATGTACACTTAAAATTAACATCGAATCCAAAGGTGCTACGACGGAGAGCTTGGAGCGAACACCATGGACAGCATGACGAGGACACACAAAGTAGGAACTTCGAGATGAATTTGCAACATCAAAACAAGTTTATGTCAACTAAACATTTTCCTTAGTTAAAATAACAAGTTATAGGACTTCGAGATGGTTTGCTTAGCGCAATGTAAATCCTCACCATATCATTAAGTTTTTGCACAACTTTGTTGTGCAATTATAAGTCCTAACACTTTTAGGATTCTGAGGTTACTGTCTGTTACAATGTAAATCCTCCAATCTTTCTAGGCTATTTGAACGATCAGATATCGTGCGAATGTAAGTCCTAAATTTTAAAAAGAAATTGCAGGATTAAACATTGAATAACATTATTTCAAAGACATAAAGTCAAACAATAGGATAGTTGAGAAATCACCAAGGTTCAAATCACCAGGGTTTCTCCTGGATCTGTGATGTCTCCTACTCTTCATTCCTTTGAATTCTTTAAAATAACTGTTCCTATTTGAGTCACTCTCATTTTCTTTCCTGTGTCTAATCTTGGAAACCTAAACTTTGAAATATGGAAGGTAAAACCACTTATCTTAATCGAGAGTCTTCTTAAGTGACCCTGGCCATTTAAGATGTAGTTAACCATAAGGGTTTGTCTCTATAGGGAACTTGGAACCCAGGTAAAACAAATTTTGTCTAATCTTTATATTAGGTATGGGAACTTACCGGTCATTTATAAAAGGTTTTACAGACCAAAAAGATGTCACGAACTTCTTAGTTTAGATGGTTGAGCCTACTGTCAAGTGGTATGCTTATCATTCGTGATAATATATTAATTGTGGTATCGCGCTCAACCGTCCAAACTATTCAATTTGTGAAACTCGTTTGGTCTCATTTATTTTTAAATTAAAGTATTACTTTTAAAAATCATATTTACATTAAAATTATTTTCATATTTTATAAAAATCATCATTCCTTTCTTTTCAAAATAACGGCCAACAGACATAACTATAGAATTCTCCATTTTCCACGCAACATATGTTGGGTCAGTTTTTAAAGGTTCTCAAATCGTACCAGTGAGATGGTTGAATTTAACCCAACCTTTGACAAACCACAAAACAACTTGAGACCATTAGAAAAAATTGAAATCGTTGAGTTTATGAGTGGTAATTAAGAAATTCATAGTGTTCGGATCCTTTAGTCTACAGAATGATTGAGGTAGATGTTGAACCTCCGATAAAATCAAGAACAACGTCGGATGAAATCTCTGAGGCTGAGGAATCAGACATGGCTCCAACGGAGCCAAAGGAGTGGATTGGTTGCCAAGGCATGGAAGGAGTCGATCCTTGCATCACACAACTTGTAGGGAAGATTTTCTGATTGTATTAAGGTTTTCCGACTAGATGAGGGACTACAACAGGGAAATCCGTCTACAGAGAGGGGTACCGGCCTTGGAGAAAAGACAGAAGATTTCTTCTGTAGAAAGAAGACAGAAAGATAGCCTGCAGAGAGAAAAACTGCAAGGAGTTCCAACTGTAGGAAGGGAATTTGACCACGCATGTAGAGGTCTAGAGGCTAGGTTAAGATTTCTTTCTCTAATACCATATAGGTTTGGTGAATTGAGCAGAATACTGTTATTGATACGAAATATTGGCTCAAACACAACTTACTAAAATCCTAAAACTTAAGAAAGAAATAACACCCATATCTCGAAGAGTACAAAAATCAAATCAAATAAACTAAAAATAGAACTCATATAACTAACCAGAAATAAAAGAAAATAAATAAATAGGAAATAACAAGAAAAAATATCCTAATATAACTTCTAACAAATTTCATTTTAAATATTAAGTACTTTTAAAAAAAAGTAGTTACATCGATAAAATATTTTAAATAATAAAAACATTTCATCGAATAAAAAATCTATGTATTTTTTTCAATTAATTATATCTTTGAATAATATAAAAAAAACACAATGGAAAGAATTTTTTTTCATTATTTAAAAGTTTTAAGAAAACCTTAAATCTAATTGATTTATTGATCTAACTTCAAATTATTTTAAAATTTTTTACTAGATATTTTAATTTTGATAAAGTCCAAAAAAATTATTCAAAAATTTTAATCTAGCGTATTTTTAAAAATCATACCAAAATTTATCATTTCTATCCTTCTAAATAAGCGTACACATAATCATCATTTGTTTTGTAATAAAACAAAGCGTCTTTCAATTAATGAGAGAACAAAAGATTAATAATATTTTCTGGACATTATTATATAGCATCTAGTTACTATAATTATTATAATGACAATATTTTAATCCACCTGTGCACTGCATGGGTTGTGCAGTAGTAATATTTGCAGTGCCTCCTACTGCCAAATCCAAGACCCGTCAAATAAGATCAACGCATGACCTTAGTACGTGATTTAGAAGCATCCCTTGTCCTCCAAAAGAATTAATCCTAACATATGAGCACACAAAATTCTAAAATAAACGACAACTTGCGAAAGTTAGAATGATAAGAGAAAAATATATAAACGGTGGCATATACAACATGATCTCCATTTGCAAAATAACTTGAATAAAATATTGACAAAGAATAAAATTTGTGAACATACCACATTAGATATTCCTTGAGCATCCAGACATTCAAAATCAACTGGGACTTGGCCATCTTTAGGGACAAGTAATGCATTGATGTAATCACTTGGCTGTACAAAGTACCAAAAACAGTGAAAAAGAAGAAGAAAATGTACTGCAAAAAAAGGCTAATAAAAGAAATTACGAATTTATGTAAGTTTGTATTAAAAACAGTATCATTAACTGCCACTGGCTGTTGATAGAAAGTAAAATGCAGCCAACAATTTGTACTAGCAGTATTGGAGTGGCTTACATATCCAAATATGGCTAGCATAACACAAAAGCATATGCTTACTTTCAATCAGAGTAACAAGGCCCATTGTTCATTCAACGGGATTGGCTTCGAGGAAGGCGGAGAGTGATAGCCAGGGTAGAGGTTCATACAAAGAGGGGACTCCTAACAAGTCTTTAATAGAAAATGGGGATAGATTGAACGGAGTCCCACATCAAAAGGAAAGGAAAGATTGTAGGTCTATACAAGTAAAGGAAAAGATTCACATATTGGAGGCACCAAAACTTCCCTTGTTAAGTGTGCTAGTGATGGAACACTCTATTAGATCAGCACCTAAAAGCAAATTTATCTTTTATTAGCTTAAATGCAATTTATTCTTTTGTCATTTATTAAGGTTTTGGATTTTAGATAGATTTTCTTCCTCCTGAATTGTAAGAATTGAGATAGATCTCCTACCTCTCAAATTGTAGATGTTTGTCCTTTACTTTATGTTCGCAATTATATTGTTTGTTTTAGGGAAATAAAATATTTATTTTGCCCTAATTTCTACAAAGATTCCGAACCAATTGATATCAATGCATTGATTCTAGGAAGCAAAGATTCTTAGAACTGACCTTCATAGATCCGTAACCTTCTTCATTGCGTCAACAAAGAGATTGCTGCTTATTGGGGTAAAGTGTCGTGATTCCCCTGGTGGGGAATGAGATGACGGAATCACAATGTCCAGAGCGCTCAATTAGACCTAATATTGTGATACGGATCTAACGCGAAGGCACAAGACTATCGCGGGAAGTGATCGCCTTTGTTGACCTCGCTTTCGGTCGAGGTGCAGTTTTCCCCTCCTTAGTAGCCTGGGATCTAGCCGTAGGACCTTTCTGTCGACTACTCCTAGAAAACTACTGAAGGAGTCCATCTCCGTTAGCAATTCTAAACTTTTCTTCACTTAACTTGACGTTCCATATATTAGTTTTGATCGCTATTGCTTAGCAGGTAAGGCTACTCTGAAGGAATTCAGGGAGTATTCCTATAGGACTGTCGGCCTTAGGATTGGTTGTACTCGTTGATTTGGCGCCGCTGTCCAGTTTTATTGAACTCATATCGGAATTTTAATAGGATTTGTACCGCAACGCGTTTTTGACCCGATCGACGACGAGGTTGCCCGGACGACTCCGGATGACGAAACAGATTGCGCCGATGCGTCCGGAACATCGATTTTACCTAGGGGAGACATTCGTTTCACTGCGACGACGCGTCTGGGGAAGGATATATAATTTAGGTGTAATTATAATCACAAATAGCATGCAAAATTTTTAAAATGATATTTATTATTATTATTATTATTATTGTTTATTAAAACCTAAATCTATCTACTCCCCTCCCCACCGCTTTTCTCGAACCCACGGGCCTCAGCCCTAGCTCTGTTCGTTCGTTCGCCTAGCCCGCGTCCTTCCTGTGTCGTTGGACCTTCACTCCCGCGCTCGCCTCCTGCACGCGAGACAATCTCGCAGACTACCCATCCCCTTATTATTGTCGAGGATCCTATCCTCTGCGAGGATAGTATCCTCTGCTCTCGACCCTCCTTGACACAGAGCGTGGCCTCTGCGAGGATCGTATCCTCTGCGCTCGATTCTTCTGCCGTATCTTCTTAATCATTTTTCTCTTTCTCTGGTATATATTAGAGCTCGGTTTTGTAGTCCGGGGAGGGGGGTATGCCGAAAATCTCTGAGGGAGGAAACTCTGCCATTTTCTTTTCTCACTTCTTTAATTTTACTTCTTTAATTTTCTTCTTTAATTTTCTAGTGCTTGAATTGGTTTCCTCTTGCTGTTGGAGAAGGAGTTGAAGTTGGGGAGTGCCTTTAAAGTTCATGTGTTACTTTCATTTGCTTCAAGGAGGTATCTTTTCCCCTTTTGTGTCTTGCCCTGTTTTCGATTTTGCCCTGCTGAGCCCTGTTAGCTCGGTGTGATGGGTGATACAGCATGCTTACTTAGTTGGCACTTATATTTTTGAATACATGATACTCAAGCATCTAGGAATAGAAGTGCAAGCATACTTTAAGGGCTAGATTTAATTACCTGTTTAGAAGGATAGAAGAATAGCATGTTATCGGCTTTTCTCTTTTCCTTACTTGCTTAAAATGGTAAAACTATGACATATTTCTATTACTATGAATAAGAAAGTTGAAACGTGGCTTTGAGACGATGCTAGCTCCTCTTTTCTCTTTTTGTTCAAAAGCAAATTGGAATAATTGAAAATGTAGCTTTGAGCTGATGTCGACTTCTCTTGCAAGCATGTTGGGATATGTATTATGAGGCTTTTCATCTATTCTTATTTAGCATGAGATATTGGAGAGTTTATTTGGCCTTTCAAGCATGTTTGGGGACTCAGCTTTGGTTTCTTATGGCTATTCCTTGCTTGAAATACATGTTTATGGGAGGATTTATTTAATTCGACAAGTCTTGTAACTTGTTTTGGTGGTTGGGTTTAGCACCTCACCAGGCATCACTTTGTTTAAACTTCTATTGGAAGTTGTTTCATGCTTGGAATAATTAAGTTGAGGGCCTAAATATACTCTCTATATTGTTGCTTTTGTTTAAGACATATGTTGGCTCTATATCTTGATGTTTCAAAAGGCATGTGAACTACTCTTTGGTTCTAAATGGGTCGGTTTCACCTTCAAGTAACAGGAACTTTAATTTCTGTTAAAACTTGAGTTTCTATCTATGCTTGGGCCTGCTTTAGCCTTGAGTGGCTCGATTTCTGGCCTCCATTGGGGCTCGGTCTTACCTGCTCTAGCTCTTCACTCTTGCTGATTATGAGGCTTATTTTTGTTTGATTTGGGATGTGACTTTATTCTTTTTGCCCCTGCTGGTTTTCGGTTTATCTAAAAATTGATGGGTTTCGATTTGCTATCATATACTGCATTTGAGTAGCCTTTAAAGCTTTGGTTTGGTCTCCTTAAGGGCTCGATTTTCACCTTGGAAGGGTTGGAGGCTGGGTTCTGGATTGAGATCTTGTCTTGGGTATGTGAGCTTTACTTGTTAACCTTAAGGGATTTATTTTGGCTTGATTTGGGAACTCGGTTTGCTTGTTTTAGCTCCTACCCGAGAGCCTATTGTGGTGTTTATTCCTGTCTCTGTTCCATAGCTATGGGAAGGTTCGGTTTTACTCTGATTGGGAGCTCAATTTTGCCTTATTTTTCCCCTGCCCGAGAGGTGGCTTTGGGTTTTCACTTTTACTAGCCTTAGCTCCTACCCGTAAGATCTCTTGGGGATGGCATAATTTAATCTAGTCTGTCTTCTTGTGCTTGAAGATTTGCATGATTATTGATGGATCAAATCTGTTATTCCAAAATGAGGTTTATATCTTGTACTCTCTTATGTATATCAAATATCTTCATATAATTGATTTGGGTTGCCTTAGTCGTGAGTCTCCTCTTCTTCTGTGCCTCGGGTTGCCTTGGTCGTGAGCCTCTTTTGGCCTTGGGTTGCCTTAGCCGTGAGCCTCCTCTCCTTCTGTGCCTTGGGTTGCCTTGGTCGCAAGTCTCTTTGGCCCTATTTTGCCTTGACATAAAGTCTTGGTGGCTATACTCTCCTCTATTGACCCCGGCCGTGAGTATTTATTTGGTTATATGGGAATATTTTATGTTTATTTGATATATGAGGCCATTGATTAATTTGGAAGTTGGAAGATCCTGATTTTTGCATGGGTTTGGGAGTACTAGTGATGGTATTCTCCGACTTATTTTCCTTTTGTGAAATTTGGGAGATTTCTAAGTCTCATTTTGGAAAAGCATTTGGTTAGAACAAATTAATTTCATAAAGATGTCTTTGGGAGCTGGGCACCGATGTTAGGAAGTCACTGGTGTGTGAGGCCAGTTTGACTTAAGTTAAGTCATTTATAAAAACGTGAGAAAGTGATATCCTTCTGGATTGATTCAAGGATCTTTGGGTCTTCTTTTTCAGGTATTTTCATTACGAGTTTTGAGAGCTGATCCGTCCTCCGTCTTTTCAGTGTTTTGAGTGGATCAGTGGCTCCTCTCTCTCATCCCATTTTTGTTCCTTTTTTTCCTTGTTTCTTAGTTCGGTTTTTTATGTTTATGTCCGATACATAAGTGTCTACGTATCGCATTTTGCTATACGTGAAACCATCAAGCAAGGTCGCAAGTAGGACGGTTTTGTTTTGAGGCTTAAGGCGATGATGACAAAGGCACACCGGAGATAGAACAGAATGATATGTCATCTTACGACATCGGGATCCGATTCAAGAACCCATCATGATCCGATTGAAGAACCCGGTGAACTGTAGAATGACAGTATCATTCACCGACACAAGACTAGCGGGAGTTGACCCGAACCTTGAAAGACTAGCGGGAGTTGACCCGAACCTTCTTAGGTTGTTGGTAGCCTTATGCCCGACAGCATCATCGACTCGTGGACAACTACTTTTCAAAATTGATGAAAATAAATTTGATAAGAACAAACACATCTTTTTCCAAAACAAAAATATATTTTTCGCTACATACAAAATTGATACAACCCAATTTTCGCATGTTTGAAACCTATGCGCATGCTGAAAACATAAATTTTAAATACATTTTAAACATTGGTTGTCCACCAGTTGATCACCTGTTTAGGCTAAGGAATACCCTCCTGTGTTAAGTTCAATAGGACGCCCTTCTAGTTGAGTGGTGGGTTTTATACATCCGTGTGATCGAGTAGCCTTCGACGACTCTCGAGTACTAATATATAGTAGAGCCTAGCCCCGACCCGAGTGCTTGCGGGCTCCCTCTTTTTGGACTTTTTCATGTCTTTCTTGGAATTTTTGGACAAAGCACTCGT